GAAACTTCCCAACCCCTTTAATCGGCACCCGGTTCCGCTGAAAGTCCATGAGCGTAATGGGGGATGCGCGCAATCGGGGTCCCCCCTTTGGGCATAAGCGCTTCAGCGTGGCCTCGGAAATTATAGAGGCCGCCGAGCCCGAGTCTATCTCCATGGTGCAAGGGGACCCCTCAATCGTTACTGTGGCAAGGATTTTAGGGGCGGAAGATTTGCCGGGGAGTTGCAGTACCTTTTCTGCTGTCTGCATGAGGTGGTAGAGTTCTTCGGCCTCGGCGGCGTCCTCGCAGTGTGCTTCTGCTCCGCGACGCGATGGTGGTGCCTTCTTGGCCTTGGAGCGGCACACGCGAGCGATGTGGCCAGTCTGCCTGCAGTTCCGGCAGGTTGCGTCGCGGAACCGGCATGACTTTCTTTCGTGGTTCTCGCCACAGCTCGCGCAGTCAGCAGCGGCGGCGCGAGGTCATTCCCGGCCGGGAGAGTGACGCTTGGGGCCTGTGTAGGCCCGGTGGGCCTCTTGCTCCTCAGAGTCGTTCGGCTCAACCTGCTGGGCTGCGGTTGTGGCGGGGTGTGTTCGCTCCCAAGCGATGGTGGAAGACAGGGCCGTGACAAGGGTGACGTCCTCCTTCTCCGCAATCCGTCGCTTGAGCTTCTGCTCTCTCAATCCCGCGATGAAACGGTCACCGAGGGCCCCGTCGAGGTGCGCCCCGAATTTGCAGTCTGCAGCCAAGCGACGGAGCTCCGCGAGGAATTCCGCGGCCGTTTCCCGGGTGAGTTGGCTCCAGTCATAGAACGCCAACCGACAGGTCATCTCCGATGGCTTCGGAGCATAGTGGTCTTTGACTGCCTTGACGATCTGGTCAAACGAGCAGGCACCCAGGTCCGTCGGGGAAAGTAGTCCTTTGGCTAGGGCCAAGATGTCGGTTCCACAGGAGGTGAGGAGGAACCCTCTCTTTTGCGCCTCGTCCGTCACCTTGTAGAAAGCGAGCGCGGACTGCACGCTTCGTACCCAGGCACCCCAGTTTTGCGGGCGCGCTGTGTCAAAGGGCGGCAGCAGGCCTGGACCGGACACGGTTGCCATCGCACTAGATGGGGCTGGTGCTGGGGCTGACACTTGGGCCTGCTGGGCGGAATCAGGTTCGGTTGACTCGCTCATCGTCAGCTGTGGAGCTGTGTGCCTTCAGATGCCGTTCGGAATCCCATCCTCGTCGCCACTATTGTGTAGTGGGTTGACCGCATGGCTAGGCCCTTGCAGCTCCACTCACTTTCTGCACGCTTGACTCTCACACAACTAAGACAAAGACAAACGGCCAGGAGGCCAACTATATACATATCCAGGGGACACCCCTGGATCCCATTGGGGGGTTCGAATTTCCCTCCCATGTTTCCATTGGCTCCCTGATGGAGAGACCGGGAGCCCAGTTCCCATTGTTCACCCAGGGTCAAGCTCTGGGTAGTCGCTG